GTTCTGCCCATGTAGTGAAGTTCTGCGAGAGTAGTTTAAAAGTTCTGGTCATGTAGTGAAGTTCTGCGAGAGTAGTTTTAAAGTTCTGCCCATGTAGTGAAGTTCTGCGAGAGTAGTTTAAAAGTTCTGCCCATGTAGTGAAGTTCTGCGAGAGTAGTTTAAAAGTTCTGCCCATGTAGTGAAGTTCTGCGAGAGTAGTTTAAAAGTTCTGGTCATGTAGTTAAGTTCTGCGCTGCGGTTAAATGTTCTGCACATGTAGTGAAGTTCACATGTACTCACAGCCACCACCACAACCAGCAACAACAGCCCCACACCGCCGCACACACAGCCAATGATGACTTTCTCAGAGTGGCTCAACCCACTGTCCCCGTCCTTCTCCTCCTCAACTGGTCCTCCCGTTCCTCCTCCTCCGTCTCCTCCTCCTCCGTCTCCTCCTCCTCCGATCTGAGAGGCTGTGCGGGCCTTCACCACCGTCTCCTCTTTGATCAGGGACAGCTGCTCGCCGCCCACCGTCAGGTCCATGTCACTTGTCGCCACCTAGCAGGGGAAATCCGACAAATGAAAATCATTACAATCAATAGACTTATTAGGAAAGTACAATCAAACAAACAAATGAAAATCATTACAATAGGCTTATTAGGACATTATATTTAAACAAAGAAGCGAACACCACTGCAATAGACTTATCAGTCAATTTTAGTTTAGTTTAAGTAGAGGTTTTACAGCACTCTCAACTGCATAAGGTCTTATGAGCGCCAAAGGGTGGATGTCAACAGAAAAGTCTTTACAGGGAATCAGACTTACTCTGCTCACCTCTCTAGCTCCAACAGCGCAAAATCTGCTTCGACTATCAAGGCACCCCGGAAATAGTGGGTCACAAGAGAGTGACAAATATACAAAAGAAGTAGAGAAAAATGACACTAGTAAGGATTAGGAAAGAAAAAGCAGCAGTTCCCTGTTGTAGTTCAGGCACAGCTATGAGCATGACATTGTCGGATCAGCCGATTTAAGCTGTGCATAAGAACAGGTTAATGTCCCCCTTTGGGAATGGCCTAAAGACACTTCAGTCACTACCACCACCACCAACACCAACAACACCACCACCACCAACAACCCTAATCCTAACCCTAACCCTAACCCAAACCCGAACCCAAACCCTAACCCTAACCTTAATCCTAATCCTAACCCTAACCCTAAACCTAATCCTAACCCTAAAACTAATCCTAACCCTAACCCTAAAACTAATCCTAAACCTAATCATAACCCTAATCCTAACCCTAACCCTAACCCTTACCCTAATCCTTACACTAATCCTAACACTAACCCCACTCACCCACTGCTCCTCCAACACCAACAACACCACCATCTCCACCACCACCACCATCACCACCAATAACAACAAAACCAACACCACCACCACCACCATCACCACCAATAACAAAAAAACCACCACCACCACCACCACCACCACCACCACCACCAATAACACCACCGCCACCACCTTCAACACCACCACCACCTTCAACACCACCAACAACAACACCACCACCAACAACAACACAACCACTCACCGACTGCTCCACGACTGTCTTCACCAGACTGAGGTCCTTGTTCTTGTCTGAGGTGATGGTGGCGTCAATCTTCACACTGCCCCGGTAAGGCCGCCCCAGTTTGACCGCGATACCTTTCTCTGTGAACTTGGCTTGCACAGCTCTGTTGGGAGCACAGTGATTGCGTCATAGATAGACTTGTAGTTTTAGTAAGAGTTTTACGGCACTTGCAACACAATACGGTCATACAAGTGCCGCAGATTAGATATGTTGCAAGAGAGTAACAAACTTAAAAAAGAAAAAGTGGAGATAAAGACGATAGACGTTTTTAAAAGAAGTTTTAGGAAGTGTTTTACGTCACTTGCAACTCAATAAAGTCATAAAAGTGCCGTAGAGGTGTCACAAGAGAGTAACAAACACAAAAAAAGAAGGGGAGATAAAGACGATAGATGTTTGATAGGAAAGAAGAAGCAAACCACACCAGAGCACCCTCCAACCCCCACTCAAAGAATTTGAATGTAGAGTGGGGTTGGGGTTTCAAACATGTAGTTGTTGTTGTTTACAATTTTTTGGGGGGTGTACTTCTTCTCAGGGTTGGGGTGCTGGAAGGTTGGGG